TCAGAGAGAGGAACGTAGGCCAGACCCTGCAGGCCATTGGAGGGGACAGCACCAACACGAACACAGGGTGGGCAGCAAGGGGGGTCAGTGGATAGAGCGGAAGATTGGGAGGAAGCTGGTCTGGGATTGTTTGTGACCTTCCACACCAACGAGTTGCCACTCAGACATCTGATCCAGGAGCTGATGGTGTCTCTTTAAACAACAGATGTCTGGCCCCTCTTGGCAAGATGCTGGACTCTGCCACTGAGTTAGAAATAAATCTGGAGGTTTGAAAAAATCACAGTTGGCCTCCACTCTGCTGAGCTTGCACATACTGCTGCCACGTGACCTGGAGTGGCTCGACCAGCACTATGGTTACATGATTTGCAGTGCTTTCAAACTGGGGTCATGCCTGATAGACTTGCTTACCTGCAGATAGTCCAGTCTCACATTCTAGGTGGCTCAAGTAAATTTGGCTCTCAGGCTCTTAGAATTTGGCCCATCATAAACTGAAAGGGAACCAGCTTCACAACCTGAGACTTATTGTCCAATTCATCGTGAGTGTCTACTTGCCAAATTGGTTCAACACCAAGGTCAAGTCATCGTTCTCCGAAGGTCCGAGGCATGTTCTCTTCCAGCTTGAGCTCCTGAGGAGTCAGCCAAGGAAGGTTGTTCAGATTGTGGAGCAGACTGTGAGGAGATCTTCCTGGTATGCTCATCCTGAGGCAGTTCTGCAGACAATGCTCTGCAGTAAGGATGAGGAGGAGAGAAGAGTGGCAGTCAAAAAGATCTTGGATATGAGACTTATGAGAGGATCTGGGCATGACGAATCAGTTGGTGACGATTCCTTCAGGGTCAGGAAGACTCCTGAAGTCAATCTAGGTGCCAAGACCCTCACTGATCTCATAGATCTGGATAACATCCAGGCTGGCAGTGAGCCCCCTCTTACCTGCAGCCTCACCAATGTTCAAGTCAGAGCTTTCCTGGACAACCCCATGCATGTCCCTGCCTGGCCCTCGCACACCCAGAGTATAGAGCGTTGTGTACAGCAAGTGAGCGAGGCCAGCAGTCACGTGTACAGCCAGGAGAGGAGGGAAGGCTACATCTGAGCTCAGGTGGTCAGCAGGGAGGTGATGAGTAGAAACAGAAGCAAGAAAGACATGTTCTCTATGGTGTGCAGCAACACCGGGTCGTAGTAGTAAAACCGGTTTTTGTATTTGATGATTTTGTTTTCTAAAGGAATATTAAATTTAATAAATGTGTCAAGATCATTCGTTTCACTATTCTGGATCATTTTCATCCTAATAAATTAACCTGATACATTTACTTTACTTTAAATAAGCTATTTAGTGGTGTTGGTAAAAGGGTGGGAATACTGAATTTTCATAAGATTTCAAGTTAAAATTTACCTAGCAAAAAATGAAAACTTTTCAAATCTGAAGATATCACATGATTCTGCACATAGAACTACATCATTAATACCATGGGCCGATTTTTCAAACTCAAAATAAAAAAATTCGCCTCCGTATGACACACCCTACAGTGTCCATGTACCTTACCTGTGAGTCACCAACAATTAAAGTTTTTATACCTTCCTTGTCATCCCTGTCCCTGACTGTACTAACGTCCAATTCGTCTATCAAGGGATTGAACGGGTTGGTATACTTAGCTGTTGTTGTCGTTGTTGTCGTATCCTTGGTGTACTTCTTCACCACCAGCTTCGTCTTCCCACTACTCACCACCTTCCACTCGCTTGAGTTTTCGTCAGACACTGGCTCCCCTTTTAATTTCGCCAGCTCTTCCTTTAATTTCAGGTTCTCCAACGTGGTCCTCTCAATTTCTTCCTTGGCCCTCGCCAATTGTTCCATGGACCACTCCAATTTGGTCAACAAACTCACACACCCAAGACCGCACATAGCACTGGCTAGTTATTGGATTTGCGCATTCAGGGTGGTAACATCGAGGGATGCATACTTGAGACAAGTGAGGAAGTTCATTTAGCCACTGCCGCCAAGCAGCTATGTTGTGTTCGGTCATTTGCTCATCCCACCCGATGCCTCGCCTGCACTCGTCCTGGAATATGATTTTTGGCTCGTATGGTGCTTGGAGCGATGATTCCGAATGGGTCGTATATGGAGCTAACCATACTCAGGAGACCTCGCTTCGTTTGTGGCTTCGTTGGGATCTGGGTTCGGACTGCAAGTTCGTCATTCTCTAGATCCCATATGATTCCCAATGCTCGCTCAGCTGGGAGCCTGTCATCCTTCAATAGTATTTATTTCACTTCAATGTCTCTTTCCGTTTGTGGGACTGTTCTGAGGACCCCTTTGTGGTTGCAGATCCTGTTTGTAAGTCTGAACCCGCCTTTCTTCATCAACTGCCTCAGTTGGTGAGTGATTAACGCTGCCTTCCCTGGTGAGGCTACTGAAAGAAGTAGATCATTGACATAGAAGTTGCGACTTGCTTTCTTAATTTTTTCATGGAGCCTTTGCCCGTGGTCTTGAAATGTTCATCGTAGTGCATATCCAGCACATGATGGGCTCCACACTCCCCCGAAGAGATGTACCTTCATCCGGTAAGTGACCGGGTCTCCCGATAGTTGGTCGTCTGTCCACCACAGGAAGCGCGGGGCGTTACGATGCTCAGGCAGTACTCGTACCTGGTGGAACATAGCCTCGATATCAGCCATGAGTGCCACCCTTTTTTGTCGGAACCTAATGAGGACTCCCACCAATTTGCTGTTGAGGTCTGGCCCTTGCATCACTTGGCTGTTCAGGGACACTGACTCATACGTTGCTGCACAGTCAAAGACTATTCTCAACTTCCAGGGCTTATTTTGGTTCAATACTGGGCGATGTGGGAGATATCAGGTTTTCCCCAGCACAATAGTAAGCTCACGGTGTGGGACTCTCTCAGCGTGTTCCTTGTTGACCAGGTTTTGCATCTATTCTCGATATCTTTGGCGGAGGTCTGGATCTTTCAGGAGACGTTTCTTCAAGCTCGCTAACCGTTGCTCAGCTAGTTTCCTGTTATTCGGGAGTTCGGGCTCTTCATGATGGAACGGTATGGGAAGTTCATAGTGCCCGTCCACCCTCGTCACTGAAGTTGACCACAGCACCAGGACTCTTCTGTCTTCAACACAGATGGGGTTTTCATTGCAGTGGGCTGAGTCACATTCCCAGAAGTGTCTGACCTGTTTCTCTAAACGAATCTCCAGGTTCAGTGGCCTTTCTGAGAGGAGGTGGTTGCTTGCTAGGTGGTCACTTATTGCAGGTCCAATCGGTCCATTTATGGTCCATCCTAGAAGTGTGCGCACCGCGAACGGCTTTCTATTCCGTTCTCCCCGGTCCTTACTTCTAACGGTGTTAGGGCTTGTGGTACATCTAACCCTATCAGGAGATCCACTCTTTCCCGTGCATGGAGTGGTGTGGTTCCTTGGAGGTGCCTCCACTTGGCAACAGCTCTGGTGTCTGCAACCGATGCTTCCAGTGAAGAAGGCAGGTCTTTAATAACGAGGATTCTGGGAATGTTGATGGATCGACTTCTTCTCACTCCGACGCAAGTCACCTTCAGATCCATCTCTTTGGCCTTCACGCTCTTCGTCTCCTTCAGGATAGTGCCTATGGAGATGGAAACAGACTTCCCTGTTATTCGTAGTCGGTTGGCTAGGCTCTCTGTGCAGTAAGACCTTTTGCTGCCTGTAAGGGCGGTAACGATATTCCTGCTCGTTACCGCTGCTCACTCGCTCATTTGCTGGCGCGACCCCCACTTGGGGGTTGGACCGAGGTGAGGAGGTCGCTGCCACCAGTGTCACCGGCAGACATTACCCAGATTTCAAACCAGACACACCTACCCCACTGCTCTTCCAAATTCTGGTGGTGTTCTCATCAAAGGATCTGGACTCGTGGGCTGTGTCCCCAGACCGTCACTTATCGACTGTCAATCTCTGAACACCTACCCGGAAGACTACTGCGGCTGCAACGTCCTCGCCAGTTCCTCTCCACCGTCGGTACCCCGGTGTTTCTTCTGCTGTAGTAAGACATCTGCCACTGCTGTTGCTCGTGTGAGGAACTGAATGGACCTTCCCCAGGGCCGCTGCCGTAGGAAATATCTCTTTATTGTTTGATTCCATTAATTGTTGACTCCCATTGATTGTTTGATGTGGGAGACCCAGGTGATACTTCCAATCAGGGGTGAAGGAAACACACTGGTGTCAAGTTCGTAAGTTCTATTTCTGGGACAAACACACAAAAGGAGTTAAGACAGGGGGAACAGCGTCCTGTCTTGGAATCTCTCCCTGAATCAATAATGGTAAATAGTACAGTTACATATTACAGCATATTCGTCTCATATATCTACATTTGATTCCATTGATTGTTTGATTCCATTAATTGTTGACTTCCCTTAATTGTTTGATTCCATTAACTGTTGACTGCATTAATTGTTTGACTCCCGTAATTGTTATTTGATGTTTGTTGAGTGGTGTCAGAGTTTTGTATTATATTTTTATAGTAAAGAGATGTCAATCTTGAACGGTTGTTTGTTATTCCTCAGAAAACCATGGTCCTTGACTTTCCTTTTATAAGATCCTGATTAGGCTGGTAAGGGATTTCTTTCCCTAAGTCCCAGGCCTTTACACTGCTTGAGTCAAAGAGTGCTCCAGTGATCACTGTTGTATTCGTTTCTCACCTTATCTCTCCGACCTTGGGGAGTGCAACTCTGCCTGGATCTGCAAGTCATATGTCGTAATTTTCGAGCCCCTTGCACTGGTTATTTTTTCGACCGTAAATATCTCTGGCCCATTTAGACAGGTTTTCTCGGCTCGTAGTCACCAGTGCAACCTGCCTGTTTCCAGCCCTTTTCTCCGTAACTCTCGAGCTGGATTTGGGTTTCCATGGCCTAGCTCCACTGGTCCTTGATTTCGGTGTCGACATGATGGCCTTGAGTTAAGTTACCTAGCTTCCGCTGCTTGTGGTCGGGCGACACTTTTGACTGATGTGCATCCATGGTGGAAGCTCTTTTCATCCCTTGAAAAACTGGCTGAGTTCCTTTTTTGATGGTTCATCCTGGTTTGGCATGTTATTGCGCATAGAATTTCTCGAGAAGTGCAGGAGATTCGAGTGGAAGCTATAGCAGCCATCTATGCCGCACCTTGTCTTCTGGATGCACTCGGCCATCCGGTGAGTGCGATCTAAGCAGGCGAAACAGCGACGTTCTTCACATACGAGTGAAGTTCGCGCTCCAGTCGACATGTTGAGGAATGTTTGGCATCTCTGCAGAGGGTGATATCCAGGGCACAACTGGCAAGTGCAGTTGTCCCTCCTCTCTTCCCGAAGTCACTAGGCCCACAGGTCTCCTTTCTGATGAGGGAGGGTATGGGTGTGAGCCTGTTCGTCTACATCTCGGCTCTTCTTGTTTTCACTCCCTCGAAGCTCTCCTTGCCCTGTCTAGCATCTCCAGTACAAAATCCTTCATCCACTCGACCCCTGGAGAATTCCCGTGTCTCTTTTCATAGTCATATGCTCTATCTTCCTATCGTTTCCTGATCTTTCCCGTGAATCTCTTATCCAAAGTATTCAGTGATTCGTATGTGTCAATTTCGTGCAGTTTTCCCAGTACCTTTAAGTTGTTTACGCAATTTCCCAGATCGTCCGCGAGCACCTGAAGTCCTTTAATGTCATCTGTTCTCACGGCTGGGCCACGTAGGACCTTGCCTATTAATTCTTGGTTATAGGCTTGCTTGTTGCCATAGCGCTCTTCTAGCAAGGCTAGAGCTTGTTTGTATCCTGCCCTAGTATCTTCTATTTGCAGGCACGCTCTCAGGGATTTCTTAGCGCGGCCGGTGAAGGCCGAGAGAAGTGTTAAAAATTTTAGTGCATAGGGTATGGGCGCCTCCCCAATGTGTCTTTGGAAGGCATGCTTGAACTCCCAATACTCGCCACAAGTCCCTCCTCTGAGCCTTGGCATCGGCCTCTGGGGAAGCCTCCTAGTGGCCATTAACTCTTTCAGTCTCGGGGTTGGTAGCATCGTGTCCGATGGCCTTCCTTCCATCCGTCCTGGGCGTTCTCGCTATATATCTTGTGCTTGGTTTTCCTTCTCCTGGGTTCCTGTTGGTGTCAATGCTTCCGGGAAGTGGGTATAACGGGTGGAAACACGTTCCCTCTCCCTCCAATGGGATGTTCCCGTCCCTGAAGCGCTGAGTGTTGGGAGCCGTCCTTGGGTGGGTGTCGAAGTGTAGCAGCTAGACACTCCTGTTTCCGGCGGTTGACAACGCGTGTCTCGTGGATACATTGTCGCGGCTGTGCCCACCCAGGCACAGGTCACTGGCCCACATCTGGGCCTGGAGGGCGAAAATGTAATAATATTAAAAATAATAGAATAATAATAATAATCTTAATTATAATTATAATAATTATTCATAGTAAATTAAATTTATAATAAAATAAAAACAAAATTGAAAATAATAATAATAATAATGATGATGATGATGATGATGATGATAAAGAACCATAAAGAAAAAAAAAATAAAGAACAAAAGTGGGAAACAATATACTGCATGTATGTTGTGTTGTCAATTGTAAGAGAAACAATTGAGACCCAGCAATTGTGTGTAAATGAGGCAGAAAGTCAGATCAGCAACCTGGGACTTCATCACAATTTTCGTGATGCCATATGGCAGCAGGGTCTACCATTAGATAACACATTATGCTTCCAATATCTTCCCAGGCGGTAGAACCTCCCTGTTTGGTAGCTGCCTACTACCTACCTACTTGTTTCCAGAAAAGGCTTTCTTCCCGGTAATGACAGCATCTCACCAAAGTCCTCCGTATCGCCTAAAGTCTGCAGTTGCTCCATATGATCTTTCATATTTTGCATCATTGCCGTCAATTTGGTGAGCGTCTGCTGATAACCCCCGATTACCCTATTCTTCCTGTCTGTTGGTTCCATCCTTCTCTCGGGTGATGTGATTTCTTCACTTCGCCCTGCCTGTGTGAGTGACCAGTTTGCATCTCTGTCGTTCAGGGCCTCCAGGTCTTTTACGCTGGCCAGGCTTATTTCCTCTACCTTGTTCCCTTCCATGACTGGTGGCACAGTGAACTCAATTTGGCTCTTTCGGTGGACAGTTAAAGACTGCAGAGTAGAAATTACAGATGTTACATATAAGATAATTATTTCACTCGTACGTTCCTTCACTATTAACAATTACATATGATATATTTGAGTAGACTCGGGTGTTAAACCATATAAAAACTTATGTGTTTCGGGTCTAATGTAGGATTTATTAGCTCCCTGATTTGTTAGCTTGTAGTGAATTCCTCCCCTACAAACGCTTGTCGCTGAGTAGCCGACCCCGCGAATTCCCCAGTGTATGCCTCGTGGTCTAGGTCAACCAGCGCCGCCTTACATGACGGAGGTCAACTATTAAGCCACGCCTACCTCCGCTATATAAGACCTGACCTCGTGGTGAGAGTGACCTACCAGCTCCACAAGAACCTGATAGGCCTCTCCATACAGTGTACCTTTAGACTAACATAACTAATATTTAACATTTAACATTGAACTAACATCTTAGTATATATATATATATATATATATATATATATATATATATATATATATATATATATATATATATATATATATATATATATATATATATATATATATATATATATATATATATATATATATATATATATATATATATATATATATATATATATATATATTAATAATACTAATAATAATAATGTGATTACCCTCCCAGTTATATCAGCCAGGAAGAAGTAATTGAACCACCTCCTGCCTCAATATACACATTTCTACATAAAACATTACTAGAGGAATAAAGATGAGAGTGACCAACCAGCTCCACTAAGAACCTGGCAGGCCTCTCCATACAGTGTACCTTTAGACTAACACAACTAACACCTCAAAAAAAAAAAAAAATAAAAAAAAATGTGACTACCCTCCCAGTTACACAAGGACCTGGGCGGGCTCACTAACTCCAACAATAACAAAAATAATAATAATAAGCAGCATTATATAAATAAACCAATATTAATACAAAGGTCTGACGACCCAAGGGAGCAGAACAAAGACAAAACACCAATAAGAAAGATGAAGCGATCTGGTTGAGCCCAGATTCTTTCTACTCCTACTGTATTTCAGTTTCACCACTTTTTCTTCAATTCCTAATAATCTTCTTTCACCTCTTAACTAATGACTTCGTATCGTATCGACCTACCCCTCTTTCTACCTACACCAACCAGCAAGCAACACCACCTCCTCTGCCGCTGCCTGGCGGCCCTCGCTCCCGCCGGCGAGCATGGCGACCCACAAGCTGGTCTCCCTCTGAGCACCCTCACCAACCAGCTCTCTCTACATCACGCTTGTCACCATGCTGCCACTTCCCAGCACCAAGCTGCATTGTACATCCAATACAACATGTATACAGAGAGCACATTGTGAGTTTCCTTTCTCCATCCCATCCTGAGTGTGAACCAAATAACCCGTACCCCACAAGCTCACTGGATGGCTAGAGACTATCTTCTGAACCCCACAGGGAGCGAGTTAGCCAGCCCCGAGACGAGGGCCATCTATTTCACATTTAACACCTCAGCAAAGTTCGTTGTAAACACTCACTCTGTTTCTCTCCTGTATCTCTCTCTCTCTCTCTCTCTCTCTATCGCTACGGTATATATACTGTTTATGAATATGATGTATTTCTTTGTGTATGAGCCTCTGTCCTGCGTGGCAGTGAGAAGTGATACCACCCTCAGTGTCAAGACCTGTCTAAATTACTCAGAATAGGCAAACTGTACTCCAAGCTTTGTTAATAAATTTGTTGAAGTAAAAAACCTATCCCTCTCTCTTCCAGTTTATCCTACTGTGGCGGTAGCACTCCCCCTGTCTAGCTTGCTCGAAACCCATTGTCTGCCGGGAGTCTTACTCTGCGACTCCCTCCAATAGGCAGAGCTTTGTCACAACGTATTAACACTGAGTCCTTCGTCTTCACTTTGGCACACCACACCAGGCCGTCATCACCCGGTACCGCTTCCAATATCCTTCCCAGCATCCATTTGCTCCTTGGGAGAGGATGTCCAGATATGATGACGATGTCCCCAGTGCGGAAGTTGTGGTGCACCCGGAAGTGCTTCTGTTGCTGCAGGAGTGTCGGGAGATATTCTTTCACCCACCTCTTCCAGAATTAGTCTGCAATGAATTGGGCATGCTTCCATTTTCGTCGGTACGCTTTTGCTATGGACTGATCGCCTCGAGTGGACAGGGCTCCCGCATGCATTCGCAGTAGGTGAAGCGGCGTGAGTGCATCTATGTCTCTCGGGTCGTCGGATACTGGGGTGATGGGCCTCCCATTGACGATCTCTTCCACGGCGCAGAACAGTGTGTTGAGTCGCTCGTCATCTAGTACCTGTGTGCCCATCACCCCCTGAAGAACCTTCTTCACCGTGCGGATCTGACCCTCCAATACTCCACCCATGTGAGAGGCAGTCGGAGGGGTGAACTCCCATTCTATATGCCTCTGCAAGAGTGTGTTCCTAACATTGTCACTGCTGTTCCACTTCCTCACCGCCGCCTGAAGTTCTGTGTTCGCTCCAATCATGTTGGTTCCATAGTCGGTTCTGGTGCGCTTGGGAGGTCCTCTGCGGGATGTGAACCTCGTCATAGCGTTGATGAATGAGTCTGTGTCCAGTGAGGTGAGGACTTCCAGGTGTATAGCTCGGGTGGCTAGACATGTAAACAAGCATACCCATCTTTTCGCCCGGGCCCGGCCTTGTGTTAACCATGAAGGGACCAAAACAGTCGACTCCGGTGCAGGTGAATGGCCGATCTTCTGGATGTACCCAGTCCTCTGGCAGGTCAGCTTGGCGTTGGTGGGTAGGCTTCCAATTTCTTCTTCGACAAATTACACACGTACGTAGTACTCGGTCGATCAACTTACGGCACTTGGGTATCCAATATGTCTGACATAGCGTGGCTAGAGTGTGCTCGCGTCCTGAGTGGCCAGCCCTGGTCGAATGTACCTCTTGTACGATAAGTTATTCTGTAATGGTGGAGGACAGGTCGGTGCTTGTCTCGCCCTGTTGCTCTGTTGATCGCCGCCAACCTCATCGAATAATTAATGAAAACCTTTAACAGTGGGAAATATTTATCGTAATGAGGTAACAAATTATTTTTCCGGAGACTGGGTGCTACTGAAAGTATACAAGTGAATTCTTTCTGGCATACATTGACTGTACAGTGTACGGTACCTGCACTGTGTACGTAGTGAAGTAATGTGAAAATTTTTGACGGTTTTACTGAATATCTCTCTATCTATATATAACAACAACGTACTATGTTTCAGGACCCCTAGTAATTGTTTACATCCGGCTAGTATGAGGAAATATACCCGAATAGCCAATTTCTTTCTGCTGGTTATATTACTGAATTTATTCGTAGAATATTTTTTTTACTTTGTTATTCACGTTGAGTGGGTGGTGTGAGGTGAAGGGTGAGTGAGTGTCTTCTGTACAGAATGCATAACTTATAATGTAAGTGCTGCCATCATACGAGTAACTGGACGGCAAGAGCTACTGTGTTTATACATGATCGTTTCTTCTACTGAAAGAGAGAGACGACCACCAATCACTCTTTCAACCCATCTTAGAGCTAAGGAGAGAATAGGTAGTTTTAATCCTACACCACGCTGTCTTGACTTTCCTTACTAATATCGTCAACACGGACGTATGGTTAGCAGATATACTATTGGTGAACGGAAATAAATTCACAGGAAAAAGTCACATGACTTGTCCACATTGACAACACAATATATATCTGATGGCATTGCACATAGGTTAGGTTAGGTTTTCCGTGCCTTTTTTCCTGTGACTTTTTTCTTGACTTTTTTTCCTGGATTCATACTATTGGCCTGCTTATATGCACACATGTCTAGTACCATAGCTAACACTGACCAGAGTGTCTACTTGATTATACCCGATGATGTGCTCACTAAAGTTGTTATTGGCCTTCATATTTTCGTCATGACAACCTAGAGAACTGTCACGCTTTTAGGGTCAAGAATATTTCGGGTCACATAATTATGTTCACCAGGAAGACCCCTTCTTAGCTCTGCTGTGTGTAAAATATCAGGATCACCACCAAACATGTAAGAGACAGTGTTCAATACTTGGCAGCCATATTGATTTACCGAGATGGACCCAGGAGCTGTTTTATTTTTCGAAACAAAAGGTCAGAGGTTAGCATCTTGGCTTTGTAAAGTCACCACTCAATTCTCGAGTAGTTTTGTTGATATTTGTTTTCAAAATTGCTTTATGTTGCAGCGTAGTGTACTGTAAGTAGCCAGTTGTCTAATTTATCTTTGTGTTTGTCTATTTTCTCTTTGTTAGGCTCACATACATAAGTACACGTAGGAGATCTCGCACTAAGGATGAAGGTGGGAAAAGAAAATAACAACGGCGTTTTCTTTATATATGTTATATGTACAGAGCAGTCAGGTGCTGGGAAGTTGCTGCATAGTAGAGGAGTTGCTGTGGAGGATCTCCTTTAGAGGAGGTCTTCTCTGCTTACGAGCGTGGTGTAGTCTGTTCTCACGACTGTTGTTGTTGTTGATGTTGAGATTGTCGGCCCGTTTGGTGGTTCCGGCTGGTGCTCTTGGAGCAGCCAGACAGGATTGGGGATTTGGGGATGGAGGTTATCCTACCTGCAGACATGAAAGGATACTGCAGGTTTGCAAATGTGAGCGGACCCTCGGTCAGTGAACGCTTACCACCAACCCCCACTCTTGGACGTAGTCAGTTTCAGAGTGGTGCACCCCCCGAACTGGGGTCCGCACTTGTTGGGGAAGGATACTTCCAAAAGTGGTGAATGTGGTTTGTTTGGGCCTTTCTGGTTAGAGTGGCCGTTGGTGTTGTGTGTTCTTCTTGGAAGTTTCAAATTCTGTTTCGGAGACTTTGTGTGACTTCGCAGTCGAGGAGATAGTGTTCCAGTGGGCTGGCCGATGGCTCCTGACAGTAGGTGCATTCCCTGACGACATTTTCGATCGTCTGCCAGGTGCACTTGTACCCTACTCATAGTCGAAGAAGGCTAACTTGGGTTTGTAATGGTGTTTTCTTGTCTGCGTATGGTGCTTCCCCCTTTGTAGCCACCCGGTACCATTTGGCTGATTGGGAACCAGCGTTGAATGCGTCAAGGAAGCTCTTTTGGATGTGGAGCTTGCTAGTCTTTCTGAGGTGGTTCATAATCTGTTGCACGCTTGCTGGAACTTGAATGTGTACGCTTCTAAAAAGTGTGGTTGCCTTGGCTGCTTCGTCTGCCATGTCATTTCCCCCGATCCCTACATGACTGGGAACCCAGTGTAAGACGAATGAGCGATTTTGTCTTTGGAAGTCCTGTAGCTGTGCGAGGATCGGGGTTATGATGTGGACGCTATATCGTGATTGATTGTGTTGCAGCGCCTGCATGGTCGTTTCGAGTCTGTGTGAATTACGATGGACTTGTTGTGTTCCGTTGCAGCGTGTTGTAGGGCCTTTGAGATTGCTACCAACTCTGTTTTTAGGGTGGAGCAGTCATTGGAAAGTCTTCATAGGAGGGTCTGACTTTGTGCGTAGAAGGCTGCGTTTTGGCAACTGTGGGCTTATCTGATCTACAGATTTTAGCGAGGAGTCCGACTGTCACTTGCTTGACTCGTACTGCCAGGGGTGGTAGTTCAGTTTCCATTTGCAAATTGCAAATTCTAGTCCACGTGTGCGCTCCCAGCATGGTCCTGACAGCATTTTTTTGGATAACTTCTAGCTTAGCTATTTCGTCTTCTCTCAGTCCAATGAGCGTTGGAGCACTGTAATGTACCAGCGATCTGATGGCGGCCGTGTAGTAGGCTTTGCGCACGTGTATGTTCGCTCCTGCGATTGTGTCAGGTAGGAGACCTCATTATGTTGTGTCTGCTCTTCGTCCTGTGCCTGAGATACTCGAGTTGCGGCTTGAAAGTAAGTTTCTGGTTGAACCAGATTCCAAGACACTGGTGGGTGTTGGTCCAGACTACCGGCGTGTTTTGTATGGAGAGCGTCATGTCTGGTGTATCTGTGCAGATGGCCATCGCTTTCGACTTGGCTGGATTTTTTTTGAGTCCAAGTCTGTTGCACTCCTCTTCTATAAATTGCGTGTTGACTAGTCTGTCTGCTCCTTTTACTATGAGCTGTAAGTCGTCTGCATAGCAGAGGAGCTTGGCTGTTTATCTGCAAGGTAGTCTGACTATATTTTCTATCGGGACATTGAACTGCATTCGACTGAGGATGCCTCCTTGTGGGGTTCCTTTTTCGTGGGCCCTGTAGCTTGATGTTGCCCCCCGAAAGCGTACTCTTGCTTCTCTCTGTGTAAGGTAGTTCTGGATCCACCCCAGCAACTTTCTTTTGACGCCATTTTCGGCGAGCGTCGTTATAATGACCAGTGGATTTGCTAGTTGGAAGGCCTTCTCCAAGTCGAGGAAGACCACCAGAGCTGGTTTGTTGTCCACTTTGCTAAGTATCTCGTCAATGTTGTTGCTTGTGCCGGTGTTCTCGATGTAAGCAAAAAAGGAGGGCGTGGTCTGCCGATTTTCCACTTGAGCCTGTTGAGAGCCATTCTCTCTCCCGTCTTCGCTATGCAGCTGAGGAGGGAGATGGGTCTTGGTTTGTCTGGTTGTCTGGGCTTCGGAATGGGCTGTATATCTGCCTTGTTCCCTTCCGGTGGAAGTCTCTGTGCAATCCTTCCCCCCCTTCTTCTTCAACCAGTCTCCATACCCCTCTTGTTTTCTCCTCCTCTACCTATTTCCCCATTTTGAAATATCGTATTGGATTATTCTCTCTCTCTCTCTCTCATCGCATAACCCACTCTGGAAATGCATAACGAACGCTATCAGTGGAATGACAACGCCGTCAACACGCTCAGTACATTAAGGTAGAGGAAAAAGTTCCTTATTTTTTCTTTTCTCAGGATCAAAGTCATTAGCGTCCTCGTATATATCACAGGATCAGTGTCGTCATTAATTTCGTACATAATACAAATATAAACCCAGATTCTTACTTTTTCTTTTCTCAGGATGAACTTCGACATTATTCTCATATATACTACAAAAAAATCTAGAACCTCATAATTTCTGTCCATAGCATGAACGCCGTTATTTTTATCTTATATACTAGAAATAATATGTATTTAAATAACATAAGGTACAATAACACACACATACATAAAACACACTTCCACATACACACATACTACTACTACTACTACTACTTTGCTGTTACTCGGAATCGAGTATGCCGATCATCCAGCTCTGATACAATGATGGGAGTTATTAGGGATGTCACCTAGGTTGGTGAGTTTTGAGGTGACTAAAGAGGCTGATACGGGACCCGCAGCGTCGTTCACATTCGTTGCACACGTGGAGGCAGCGGTGGCAGCGTCTTACCGGCGTTGACACTTGTCTGCCTCGGTTTGCAGTCGGGCTAAGTAGACAGTATTGACACCTTCTTGTGTGGTCCTCCTCCAAGCGTTACGATGTGGAATAATCGACTCCCAGGTGAGGGGGTCGATTTGGCACTCTTTCAGGATTGTCCTAAGATTATCCTTATACCTTTTCAGTTGCCCGCCAGAGTTACATTTACTTTTCGTTACGTGACTGTAAAGTAG